ATACGAGAAATACTTGAGTACAAAATACTCATGATCTCATATTAACAGATACTTAAAACATAAAACAATAAACCATCATATAGTGTCTCTCAGAAACAAACCTAAAGATATTTCTGGGATACTGAATACATATTTCACTGTCCCTTCAGGCTTTCATTGTCTGCAGTTGACTCAGGAACTTCTCAGCCTATTGACCAGGCAGACATAATTGATTAATCTTTTAATCTCAGGACAATTCTGTGAGTAGTCATCTTCTCTTTTGAAAAGCTGTGTAGTTGCTAGAAGCAACTCCCCCTGAGCAACTGATATATACTCAGGAACTCTAGACTCGATGAGTTAGCTGCCAGGGCTGGAAATGTCCCTCAGAACAGGAAAAAACACAAAACAGAAGAAGCAGCTGGGGATTTAAGTTCTAATTTCACATTCATCAAAGGAAATACATATTCTCTCTGCAATGTGCATCAGTTGTAGATGCCATTGCTCTTAGAAGGACAGAAGGAAAAGAAATACTACTTCCCTCGGCCCCCACCCCACCAACTTTACTGAAAATTGATTGGAAAGTTGACAGTCTTAAACAACACATTCAAAAGAGGTAAGAGCTATTCCTGGCTCAGCAACCAATCATCTTTGATACAATCCTCCAGTCATGATTGCCAGGGGACTAACTAGGAGTCTCTGGTCATACATGCACAATAGTAAAATATATACATCCCACTGGAAGGTACCAAAACAAATTCTGAGCTCTATGAGAAATGTCTAAATACAGTAATTCAGAAAAGTTCACCTGAATGACTGAAGAAGAAACAGGAGAGAAAACTTAGTTTCAATCTCATTATAAGACTGAATAAGTCCAAGGTTCCTGATGGCCAAATGTTCATATGCAGTTGCAATGGTGTTTGAAAGGTCTGTTCCAATTATCCACATTTAGGAGGCACATTATCTTTTACTTGGTAAACAAACATGTTGATTTTTACTTCTAATTTCTAGAAACCCTTTCTTTTACTCCTATATGTTTCAGTTCATGAATAAAAAGAATCTATGGTCCCATTGGTAGAGCTACTCTCATAAATGATATAGAGGGCAGCCCATCCATGTCTGTTCATCCTACATTAATGTTATTCATGCACTTCCATAAATATATTACAGGGAGAAATTTTATGTATAACCTTAGCACAAATCCTATCCATTGCTTATCCAATGTATTCTGGTCATATACTTCTTGATTCCCCTTATGAAAAACTAAATATTTGAAAATTGCAGACAAATTATTTGTGTTCTAATGTCTTACATGTTTTCTAGTCTGATTTAAAAGTGAGAATCCCAATCCAATGAAACTCTGATATAGTGCTCCCCCACCACCACCGAATATCCCTTAGGTAGTGAACGGATATGGACTCTGGTATATTTTGTATTACTTCCTTTGAATTCTTGAGACAAAAAAAGAGTAAGATTTGTTCAGTGTGTTCTCAGGAGGAAATAATTTAATCTCTTCGTTTTCCTGATAATGTAGTTTGATGTTGGCCTAAGTGAAGTGATTTTAAAAAAATAGTGACTTTTCCTTTTGATGTGAGGTTTTTAAAAAGAAAATAATCCCCAGCTATTTTCTAGTAACAGAGCTATTCTTGTCTTTTTGAGCTATAAAGTATAAAACAAAGATTAGGTTGATTGTTCAGAAAGATAAATCTGTGATTTTCTTAGTGTACAAAACAATAATTCATATATCTAGTCTGTTTATTTAAAAAGGAAAAAAAGGACCTCTTTATTCCCTACCTGATTACACCTATAATATGACATAATATTCCTCTTCCCCGTGGAAAAAAACTGATCAGTCAAATACCAATTTCACTCAACATTTAAATATATAAAGACTTAATTAGCAAATAATATGCTTTATAACAACTCTCTTCAAACCCAACAGATTAGCTGGTCCTATTAACTTTACATTGAACAATACAGAATTTAATTCAACTCAACAAAAGTGTATTAAGAAAATACTATGTGTAAGGTATTATGCCAGATCCTGGCATGATAAAACCACAGATTTAGAGCTGGAAGGGGCATTAAAGGTCATCTAGTCCAGCCCCTTCTTTATACAGAACAGGAAGTTCACAAAGATATCAAGTGATAGAGATAGTTTGCTCTGACTACAAATTCATCATCCCTTCTAGTAACTTCCCACACCCAACTAGAGAAATACTACATTGTCACTGTATTATCAAGGAGATTACAATGTAATTTGGGATTGTGACTAGGAGGGAGAGAATTTGCACACAAATCTCTATGATACAAAATAAGAGTGCTTAGCACAGTGTTAGCACGTAATAGAATGTTTGTTGACTAACTTAGTGACAAATGCAAAGGAAAGGTCTGTACAAAATGTTATGAGAAATGTAAGGATCATAGATCTAAAGTTGAAAGGAATCTTAGTGGAAATCAATTTCAGAAAGGCTAAAGTGACTTGTCTAATGTCACAAAGCCAGTATATTGTAGAAATATCTATGTCAAGACAACAGTGACCTTGAGCATTATCACAAAAGGTAAGCACCTCATCAGATAATGACAACTCTTGGGAATCTCTGCAATTTTTTGTACAGCCACAGCAGAATCCCAGTCTCAAAGGGTTCTTACTGGACAGAAAGCAAAGACTGTATTATCTCTGCAACAGCTTTACAAAGCCAAATGTTGCATCTCTCCAGAAATTGTTCAAAGCATGCTCTGCATGCCTTTATAATGGTCATCTCTATGTGGAGAATACAATCCTTCCTCATCTTCCAGACAGAGCGTAATCCTTTGAGATTCCATTCAAGTGCCATCTTCTACAGAAAATCTTTCCTGATTCCCTACTCCCCAAATGCTAGTGACTTTCCTCTCTAACTACCTTGTATTTAGCTTCCTTTTCTTTATTGTGTTGTTTCTCTCTTTATGTTTATTCTGTATGTACTAACATATGGACTTGGTGTCACTATGCCCAATAAGAATACGTACTGCTTGAAAGTAGGAATTATTTCCTTTTTTCATATTCCAACACCTAGCTTGGTTTCTGGCACATAGCAGGTGCCCAGTAAATCCTTGTTAATGAATCAATGTTCTCTAGGTCATGATACTTTATTTTTCTGAATGCACTCACCAGTGAAATATTAGTTACTTCTCAGTTATTTCAGGGTTGGAAATAGAGATTGTAATCTACCTCTACTAACTGTTCATACCTAATAAGATTGAAGTGTATGAGAAAAGCAGAAAACAAATTTTCTATCCTTCATGATCAGAAGCAAAGGAGAGAACCAAGAGTTACACATCTTAAAGTTCTCTGATTTTATACCTCCCCTTAGTCTATAATGACACAGAGTAAACGCTTATTGCTTTGCTGATGCATTGAATTGATCTGGCATTATTTGTATTCTCCATTGAAGTCCCACTCAGTACTTTATCATGATATGAGGTCACCCTGGGGTTGGAAAAAGCTGTACCAACAAAGCATAACCTTTGATATCTCCCACCAAACTGGAAACACCTTCAGGATAGGCCCTGCAGTGCACCATGAGTCAGAAATCACTGGGTTCAGAAAGGCCCATCACCAAAGGAATGGCCATCAGGTGTTGAGCTTACTTTCAGTCTCACTATCCATCTGTTGAGGCATGTGGGAGTTTTACATTTGAAGGCTTGTTGAGGAAGGATGAAATCATGGTGATTGAACTGATTGATTCACCTAACTGTTAAATGAGGGCAGTTCGATGTACAGTCAATCTAAATTGGATTGGGAATCAGGAAACTTTGGCTTCATTCTCTACTCTTCCAATTAGCCATGTCTCCACGGGCAAGTTTCTTTCATTCTCCCAGCCTTCATTTCTTCACTTCTAATATGAGATTGGAATCTATATTCTTGGTGTTCTTCCAGATCTAATGTTTTCTGAGTTGGTGATCCAAAGTCTGGTTCAAATGTTTGTTGTTTTCCCATTACATATCATTGCTAGACAATTAGTCTCTTTTGATTATACAATTTACTGAATGTCAGCATTTTATCAATTCAGTTGTTTTACATAGCCACTTAAAATGTTGTGATTTAAGCTTTAATTTCTAAGAAAAAAAATTATCGTTTTTTTTCCATAACCAACTGTCTTCTTTATCTGACAGCTTTTTCTCCCAAATGGCCACATCTCTTCCTTATTTAAGTACATTTGTATAGTGACCTTCCCAGGCATCTAGTTATTCAGAGACAATTGGTATATTTGAATCAGCAAAAATAAATGGGCGTCAGAACCATATTCGAAATAGTATTAGAAAGTTAGTGTTTAGCAGGGGGAATAGAAGAGAGGGGCATGAAAAAATACTTTATTCTTTTTTGAAATGATTACATTCAACTTTAAATTACTTCCAGACCTTTCCTTGAGAGTTTAATATGTTCAATAGTGTCAGAAAATGTTAAAGCACAAAAGTCAAAACAATTCGCAAAATGCAACCTTAGGCTGAATTTGTGTATTTGAGTTTTATTCCAAATTCAAAGCTAGATATTTAGCCTAATCTTTTCTTTTAATTGCCTTCGGAAAGGTTTAAAAGCAAGCAATCAGTCTTTAAATACAATAATTGTACTTAGAATTTCCTGAAGATCCCTTTGCTCCCTGGACTCTGATTACCTGTGATTAAGCTAAACTACATTGAATCTGTCAATTAAAGCTCTCAGGATTCTAGAATTTGAATAGATGAGCCTAGGAGGCCAGTGATAGCTAAGGCCAGGCTCAAGGCCTTCTTCATCCTTGATTTCTTCTGGGCTTGCTGACCTTCAGGGAGAATACTTACCTGCTCCCTTTCTACACTCCTCTTTCTTTCACATGCATATCATTAGCTTGTGTTCAACAACTCTCTTTAAAGTTGATGCCAAATAAATAGCTTAATGGAGCCTGAAATTTTGTGGTTACTCCAACTATTTACTCTTTTGGAAACTAGGGGGAAAAAAGCTAGGTAAAGCATTTCCTGACATGTTTTTCTTTGTTCATTTTCTCTAGAAGATTTTGATGAAGTGCCATCTTCAAAGAAAGCCAAAGGTGAGCTTGTCACAGCCAGTTTGCTTCTAAGCTGTTCTCAGTGAAGTTTGTTAGTGTCTTTGTTTTTTGGGGGGTGGGACAACATACTAAAGAAGGCTTTACTTTGAGTTCAAGTTCAATGTCTCACACTTTTTCCTATGTGACTAAAGGTAAGTCAGTTTGTGTCTTAGAACCCCCAGCCAACTCTTTAAGACTATAAGTTAAAGATGAATTTGTATCTGCTTTAATGAAGAGTATTTCCTAGTTGGGAGTTCCTCATACCAATGAAAACACGTCTATACCCCACTTACTCCCAACTGTTTATTTTACTATCTCTTTTATTCTAGCCATGGGTTTGCATCAAGTATGTATTTGCAATTGGGTGTGGCCTTTTGACTCAGTCCAAGTTGTACAGAACAAATCCTTCTAGTAAGGAGATTTGTTCTGTGAAGTTTGGATTCAGTCAAAGGACAGCAATTGAAGACCTAGAAGGCCACATGTGCCCTTAAGGCTGCAGATGTCCCACCCCTGAAGTAGATAAATAAATAATTTAAGTTCTCTGAACCTCAAGTGTCTTCATTTGTAAAATGAATAGACTGGACTATATCATCCCTAAGGTCCCTTTTACTTCTTAGTCTCTGTGATCATTTTCTAGGAAGCTTCCTGACTTCAGAACTACTGATTTGTTATGAAATAGTTATTTTCCACTAAACTCATAATTTGTCTATAGGCTTGAGTTTCTCTGATGACTGACCTTATGGTTAAAATGCAGAATTTTGTGGTAATCTCTATAATTAGACAATAAATAATTGAAAGATTGGGTTTATCAATCAATCAGTAAACATTTATTTAGCACTACTTTGAGTTAGGCCCCATGCTAGACACTAAAAGACTAAAGAATGGGGATTACTGAACCAAGAAGAGATAAAATTGAGGAATGGTTATTCTTCTACAATTCCAAGTTATAAGGAGTCTCAGATATACATCCAATAAGATAAAGTGACGTGACCAAGGTCGTTCAGTAAGTAGCAAAACTACAATTCAAGCAGAAGACCTCAGACTCAAAATCTAGTGGTCCTTCCACTATACCATGCAGTCTCTCAAACTTTAACAGTTGTTAAAGTCCCTCAACAATCCAACTAGAACAACTTCTTTATTTTACACATGAGGAAACGAAGGCTGAAGTAAAAAGTCATGGGTTACTTACCTAGTAATAATGGCTAGCATTTAGTAGACAATAACTAAGTCAGGGCTCGACCCTGGTCCCCTGACTTTAACTTCAGGATTTTCTCACTAACAGTCCTTTTCCACTACCTCCACCTTTAGGGAGGTCTCTCCAAATAAGAAGTACCCACGCATTTGCTTTTAGAGGTTTAACAAAGGACTCCCTAGGGAATAAAACAAATAACCTTGGTTCTTTGCTTAATACTTTGACCCTAAATTATTTAGTATCTGTCATCATGTATAGAAATGCTACCTATTCTCTTATTCTCAACATCCATACCCCTAAAAAGAAAGGAAAATTACAGGGTACACCCAAAATACCAATACACTTTCTTAGTAAGTATGGTTATTGAAAATCATTCAAATATTCCAAAAAAAACAATCAAATAATGGTCAGGGAGCTAGGGTCCATACTTTACTACTATTATTCTAAGATTCAAGAACTCTCCAGAAAAACAATATGCAATCAGTAGATACCAAAAATGGGAATCTTTCATACACTTCCTGTAAATATATGCCAATTTCATCTTACCATTTTTCCCATAAAAATATCGGCCTCTTTTTTGGGTAATTTTTCTCCTTCTCTTTGGTTTTCCTTTGATTTTTTACATGCTGGTATTCCCATATGAAGGCCTAATAAGAACCTTCCTGGTGCAAATATCATTTCTTTCTGCTCAGATTCATGTTCAAATATGCTGGTGCCCTCATGATATGTAGCTCTTTAGTCTATATATTTCTGCCATGGTAGTACACTCATACAATATGTGCTTTTATATTTTTATATCCACCAGAGGAAACTGAAGACATGACTTCCATGAGGAAAGAAAAAAGTGAGTTCATAGATAAGTAACTTACAAGTTGCTTATTCTTTTCATATTAAAAACAATGGATTTGAAACTGAGCTTGAAAATTTCTTCATGAAAAGCCAATAATCTATTTTTGGGAGAAGATTTTCAGTACAGATATCAAGCATGCCTTTAAAGTAGGTCATTTTTTTCTTTCTCTCTCAAAAAGAAACTAGTCATTTTTTGCATCAGGCAAGAGTCACTTAGTTGAAGAAATTACATGGTAATGACTAGCCCAGCAATTATAGCAAACAGCCCTATAAAACTCTGCTTCATAAGTACAACAGCTGAATCTATGCCTGAGCCTGTCTATTACTGCAGGATCTAGAGTAGAATGATGAACCTGATGTACTAAACTTCCTTCCTTCAAATAGAAAAGAAATAGAACTAGGCCACAGCAAATCAACTATACAGAAACTGATTTTTGTCCCTAAGTGCTGGAGTTCCTTTTTTTCCCCCAGCTATGTAATAGACTAATAATATTGACTTTCTCTGTGTGATCATTGATTCTAGTATGCAATCAATGTTCACATTCAGTCATAAAATTCAGTGCCTTAGATAGCTCAATGTTCCTGCACTAATAAATTTGACATTTTTCTTCAAGTGAACAAGTTATATGCTATTGGTCCCTAGCTGTATTACAGAAAGCAATTTTTGGACAGTCTGAAAAAAGTACTCTTTGTAAAAGCCTTAATTTAAACATTTGTCATATAATACTTACAAAGGGCCAAAATAGCTGAAGCAGAGAAAGTCGATCAAAGGGTCGTGAAGGAGGTCATTAAGACATAAAGATACACACACACACACACACACACACACACATACACGTGTGTGTATTATGCATATAGATAAAGAATGGGGTTTCTGTGCCTTGTGTATATATGTGTGTATATATAAAATACATATATATATATATATACATATACATGTATACATGCATATGTGCATGTGTGTGTGTGTATGTGTGTGTGTGTGTGTGTGTAATCTTTTGGACTTGAAGAGACAGAAGATCTGAATTAGAAACACAGCTCTTCCACTTATTACTTGTGTGGCCTTGGAAAAGGATACTTCAATTTTCTGAGCTTCCATTTCCTAATTGACTAAATAAAAGGGTTGGATTAGATGGCTTCCAAAGTGGGGACCTCTCAGCTCAGAATTCTATGATCCTAAGTTTCACATATCTTCCCACTTCATTATAAAATATCTTCAGTTCTGAACCTCTTCCAGAATTTGGCATTGTCATGGTAGGGGAAATACATGGAATAAGGATAGTGCCTATATTTTTCCATGATACCATTGGATGTTGGTGGAAAATTGGTTTGAAGTCAATTCTCATTACGAAGCCATAACAGTATCTTTTCCTATCCCTAAACTTACCAAAAATAACATTTCGTGGGTATAGAACAATAATGATCTAACTCTCCTAAATCTTAATGTCTAGTTATTATATAATATAAAATTATATGTTGATTGTTAAGATATAACTATAACTTCATATTATAATTCAAATACATAAAACACGTATTTTCTGCTTTCAGTTTTTATCTAAATAGAACTTTGTTTTGACATAATAAGTCACAGCATGGTTCTGTAAAGTATACTGGTCTAGAAATCAAGAAAAATGAGTTTGACTAAAATGTCAATTTCTTGAGGACAATGACCATTTCTTTTTTATATTTGTGCTCCTAGTGTCTCAGACAACATTTTATTTATGAAACAGGTACTTAATAAATGTCTACTGAATTTAACTGAGTTAAATGAAATTGAATTGAGTGTGTGCACTACTATGTATGACTTCTATACTTCTGAGAAAGTCATGTTATTTCTCTGAACTTCAGTTTCTTCACATGCAAAATGGAGATAATAGTAGTTGTATTATCTGTGTCAGTGGCTTCCAGTGAGGAAAATCATGTTGCATATTTCTAAATGTTTTGTAAATAAGTTGTCAGTATTATTCTTCTAGAGTTACTTGACACTAACACTCTATATTCATATGACTTTTAAAAGTATTTAAAAGAGAACTCAGCATATAACATATTCATTAATATTCTCAATAATATATAATTATATATAACAAGCTCATAGAATGTGGTATGGTCTCAAATCAGTTTAAATATGGAGACTCTCTTCAGCAAAGCTTGTGTATTCAAGCTGTCTTGGGTTCCATTTTGAACTAAGTGATAATAGTGCAGACACCAACTAAAATGACCTCGTCTGCAACCCCCTTAAAGCCAATAAAAATGAAAAAAAAATTGTCCAGAGGAGATTTAATCTAAGTCCTTATTGTGTGTGACTAGAGTGAAGGAGTAAGTTCACCTAGAAATAGAGGAGGAGTTTGAAATTTAAGGGATAATATTCTGTTGGCAACAGGATTATAGGATCTTAAGTTTGGAAGAGTTCTCAGAGGTCATGTTGTCCAGCCCATACTTGAGGAAGAATAAAGCATGTCCAGGCATTGCTCGTACAGCCTCTGCTTGTTTCCAATGGATGGGAAATGCACTAGTCAATAGTCAATAAACACTTATTGAAGAGCCTACTATGTGTCAGGCACTGTGCTAAGCACTAGGAGTACAAGTATAAAAAAGAAAGACAATTCCTGGCCTTGAGGAATTTATGATCTGGTGGAATAAGTTAATGGACACTACCTTTGAACAAATCTAAGTGCCAAGAAGTCTTTTGAAAGATGGTGAAATAAGAAGCAGCACCAATACAAAGTCTGCCTCATTAGTGTTCCAGCAAAGTGGTGATTGGCAAATCCAAAGGAAAACTACAGTGGGTTTTTTTTTAACAGCCTAGATCATAACAGGTAACAGGTCTCTGAGCACTTGGGAGAGAGAGGGAGAGAGAGAGTGAGACAGAGACAGAGAGAGAAAGAGAGCAGCTAGGAAAGCTCATGTAGGTCCTTCTAGCATGAGTCCTGGACTGGGGAATAGCACTGTTTACCTGCAAAAAGTAGGAACAAGAGGAAACTCACAGCTGTGCCCCTCAAACCTCAGAGCAGATTCAATGAAGTCTATGACTAAAGCCTTTAGCTACGTACCAAGGCATGGAGTATAGTTGTGGAATCAACTCAAACCGAAGCTAAAGCCTGAGACTCTGGATCAGGGCAGGGAATACAGATCAGAGGTGGGTTGTATTGCTCCAACCTTGAGAAAGACTTTGGCCTGCAGCACAGAACTGGGGCTGACAGCCAATTAGCAGGAAGTTAGGTCCAGAGGTGAGCCTACAGTTCTGTTACCCTGAAATTATAGACATAAGCTGCTAGTTGGCCAGTGCTGAAGCCAGCAGCTATCTACTGGAACCCTAATTAGGAGCAACTCTGCAGTTTTGTTACTTAAACTCAAACTTGGGTATGAAGCCTGAAAAGCTCAGATCAAAAGACTATGTTCGGGGCAGCTAGGTGGCACAGTGGATAGAACAATGGCCCTGGATTCAGGAGGACCTGAGTTCAAATCTGACCTCAGACACATAGCACTTACTAGCTGTGTGACCCTGGGCAAGTCACTTAACCCCCATTGCCCAACCAAAAAAAAAAGACTATGTTCTACATCAGACCACTTAAAGTTGATAAAAGTATGCAGTTTCTTGTCCTAAACTGCCCTAGATATCTTTAAAGAATTCAACAGCCAATATCTGAAAAAAAAAAAGTAGGAGAAAGATAATACAGATCAGGATCAAATATGACCACAGAATTTCTTACAGAACTATATAGAGCCTGACCCTAACACAAAATCCCAGTTCAGAAATTAAAGCTAGAAGAAGGAATAAACAAAAAAGACAGTGATGATAGGGAATTATTATAGAGACAGATTCACAAGAAATAAACCCCAAAGAGAAGAATTCTACCATATCTAGGAGAAAAGTTTCAAAGATAAACACAATTTGACCATAAAGTCAGCTAAGATTCCTAGGAAAAATAAAACAAGAGTTTTTAAATGATGGGTTGTACCTATCTCACAAGGTTGATGTGAAGATTAAATGAGATAAATGTATAGTACTTTGTAAAGCTTACAGTACTATCTAAATGCTGGTATTATTGTGAAAATGAAATATAACCTCTAGAGGAAATAATTGGAAAAGAAATGAGAACTCTAAAGGAAAGACTTGGAAACTTCTTTCCTTTATTTATAATTTTCATTAACAGCTTGTATCAAGATATGCAAAACCTTAACCAAATGAAAGGCTATCTAAAAATTAGAATGAATTAAGCAAGTTAATCACTCCACGAGATAATAAGAATTTTTTTTTAAAGTCAAAAAGTTGGGAAAAAAATAGAAGAAAATGTGAGCTGTTACATAACAAATACACCAAACCCAGAACACAGGTCAAAAAGAAAAAAAAAAAATATATATATATATATATATATATATATATATATTTTGCAGATACTATATTTTAAGAAATTATGAATGAAAACTGCCCAACCCTATTAGAAATAGAGGAGTTCTGCTAGAGACAAAAAAAAAAGCAAAGTTAATCTCTCTTCTAGTCTTAATTGTCTTTTTTGTGATGAAGCCTAAATACAGCTGTTACAACCCTCCCCATTTCCCTAACTGTGTCTTCCTTCCCTAACACAGAGTTTACTATAGGTACCACTGACTGTATAGTTCAAATATCTTTCAGACTTTTGGACTTAACTAGTTGGCATACCTTTCATTTATTCACTGATACTGTTAACGGCTACTGCTGGATAGGCTGCTGATTACCTCTCTCTCTTTGCCTTCCACACCATAGAGAAGTTCTATAGAGAAGCACTGACATAAAAGTAGACATTTCCTGCTTATTCCATCCTTCTCAATCAATCAATAAACATTTATTAAGCACTTACTATGTGCCAAGCTGTTGTTAGGCCAGCTGTGCTTTACTTTATACCCCTCCTCCATTGCCCATATCTTACCCCTGTGATCATATTTCCATCTCGTTCTGACCTGAGTCTCCAATGTTAGCCACCTCTTATGTGTTTTCCCATCTACTTCTCTTGCCAGCTATTACATTTCTGTGATTTTCACGTTGGCATCTGATTTGAAGCAAAAATGTTTCTACCTAGTCAGCAGGTTTTGTTGTGGGGTAAATACAACCCTCAACTCAGGATAAACATAGCTTCTCTCTACAAACACCTGTCCAACTTGCAACACAGCTAATGGGTAGTGAAATTGCCACAGTAACATTACAGCTGTATGTACCTTATAATAATGACTAGCATTTATATAGCATTTTAAAATTTGTTAAAATGCTTTATCCATACTGTTTCCTTTGAGCCTCATATCCCGCATATGAGATAGACCTGGCACATATTATTATTCCTTTTTTACAATGAAATATGTTCTCAGAAGATAAGTGACTTGTCCATGGTCACGTAACAGGCAGATAGCTGAGGGGGACTTTGATTACATCTTTCCTACTCTGAGTCCATTAGGTCATGCAGTGTAGCATTGATTCTCCTTTTTCTCATAGCCCAAATACTCCAGGTGTGTCTGCTTGAAAATCTTGGAACACCCCCCCCCTTATTTTGGATCATGTAACAACTCCCTCAGCTGATTACAGCATTTGAAACAGTTTCTTTTCTCTCCACATTTGGTGCTGGCAAGCTGTGAAGTCTGATATTATATAAGAGTGTTAACTGCAAGCAAGAGATTTCTGTCCATTTCTATAAACCCTGTACTTTGGCTTTTAAAAATGAAACCTCTTTACTTTAACTGTTCTTGTCTGTTATGGTCCAAATGAATAACTGTACTTAACAAGCCTTGGTATTCTTTTGCACAGCTCCCATCAGTTTCTTCCAGTGTGTCTACTTGGATGGGTACAATGGATATGGATTCCAATTTCCTGTTACACCAGCACATCAACCTGGAGGCTCCAGTCACCCAAAATCACCAGGACAGAAGCAACAAGGACAATAGGCATGCATGTGTGGTCGTACAAGCTTGTAAGATTCTGAGTGTTAGATCTTCCCTTGTGATCCACCAGAGTACTGCCAGTGTGACCCATTGGATCATTTGTATTTGCCAACATTTTATTTCCTCATCGGGTACTATGAAAAAATGTGGATAAGGTGACTGATAAACAAAGTAGGCATGCTGAAGCATCTTGTGTCAGGAATAGTACTCAAAGAGCTCCTGATAAATTTTGTGGGGATTTTTTGTTGTTGTGTGTGCATTTAATTGAGTATGGACTTTTTTCTGTAACATGGAAAATTTTTCAATCCTGTGTAAACCTAGGCTTTGAGTCACTCAGTAAGGTAGAGCTAAAGAGCTTAACCTTGTTTATACATAATTGTATTTAAGTTGTGACCACAGAACCAGGACATCTTTACTACACCATTTTGTTTAAGATCCTCATAGACCTCTTTCAGTGATCAAAGAAAATGGTAAACATGTCATATAATACAGTGCAACAAATATTTGTTAAGCACCTACTGTATGCTATAAGCACTGTGCTAGGTACTGAGGATATAGTGACAAATATGAAACAGTCCTTGCCCTCAAGGAGTTTACATTCTACTGCCTAATAAATCTATCTACAATTGATATTATGTCATATTCACCAGCAACACTGCACAATTCATTTGGACAGTACTGGTGGATTATTTGTTTACTATTTTTAGGCAAACACAAAGTGACATTTCCAGACATCGCCAGATAGCATCATATAGCCAAAAAAAAATGCCAAATGGAAAAAACTTCACAGTAATCACTGAGAATATGTAATATATGGACAAACATTTTCATTCACTTTGATAAATCCTTTCTGAGGAGTTTGTTCTCCCAAAGTGGAAATACTTGAATGTCAACAAAGATGGAGGAAGGCACTTCAGATGGAAGTGCTGCTCCTAGAGCATTTTATTTATTTTTTCTAGACAGTCAATCATCAGTGCTAGGGAAAGGGACAACATGACTTTGAACCTCATGAGAGTGTTTCACTGGAAATGGGATGTTCATGGTTGTATTCCTTTTTGGCTTCCCCAGAGCTGTAAATGCCAATGTTTCTTGACCACATTTCTCCATGGACTCTAAAATCCATATATCTGTGACCTTCATTACACTTAAGGTTCCTATCTGATTTATGACAAAGCAACTCAGAAAATGGAGTTATTCTTGCTATAACTTAACTTCGTTTCAAAGGTTTCAGACAGACAGAATCAACACTAGCTTAAGCAAACCATTGACTTTCATGGGATGCAGATGACTGTCGTCCTATAGGTCAGGAAACTAAAGATTAGTTCACAATCAAGTCATTAAGCAAACATCTTATTTACTGCCATGAAAAATTATTCTATGAATAATTTGGTGGTCTAAGACAGATGATAAACATCCGCACCTCAAATGCCACTGTTACAATTAGTCAATATTGATTATGTTCCTTATAGTGGGACCCAGATTAGATAAATTCAAAACTAAGCTGACTGTCTCGTTAAAAGGTAGTCAGTTTCTCCAGCATAGAGTTGAAGTATGTGGATAAGACAGTGTGTGATGTTTACTTTGTAAACACTTGGGCTGCACTTGTTTCATGGATGAACAGAAGAATCTAGAGCTAATTTTATAGTACTTTGACCTCTAAGACTTCTTAAGACAGCATGGGCTAGTGGATAAAAGTCTGTGCTGGATCCCAGGGGACTAGGCTTCTCTTTTCAATGCTACCTGAGAAAAATCATTCAATTCCCTACCTCATTTCCCAATCTATAAAATGGGGGAATAAAAATGTTACCATGATATTTCACCAGAGAGGTTATAGTGAATATGCTGAAATATTTGCAAAGGACTCTGACTATCTTGAAAGAGAACTCATTGTAATTAAGAATTTAAAATGCTACTAATTTTCTTTTAGCAAAATGGGTATTTTCCAACTATTTCTCTATGTTGCCCTTAGTTAGTTCTTTAATTCTTATCCTGGGATTCTTTTGCATTTTTAAAAATGGACTAAAATATAGGTTTGCATGACTAGAATTTTGATGAATAAATAGAATAACTAAATTATGAAGTGATTTCTATGTATAAAGCACTGAGTTAAGGGCTGGAGATACAAATACAATAGTAAGACTGCTCCTGAATTCAAGGAGCTCATATTCAAATGGGACAGAGAACAAATGGAAGGTTTCAGCCTCAAACTAGATAAAACGATTGCATGGTCTTTGGAGTATATAGGCAAAGCAAATTTAATGAAATAACTACACTGGCCACATGATTTATAGGGAATTAAAAGAACCTCTATCCACCATATTTAGTTTTACCCGATTTGAGCTATCATAGTGAAATTATTTTTAACAATATAAATTACATCATCTGTTGATGTGCTTTCTTCAAATAAGTCCTTCCTATCCCCTTTTAACCACATTTACACATTATAAGAAATTATAAGAGAATAAATCAGTGACTGCATCCTTAATAGGTCAATCATAACATATCATTTTGACCGTGAAGATGTAAAGATTTGAAATTGAACTAGATCTCTATAATTATTCAAGTGATGTGTTTGACTTACTTATTCCCCAGAATAACAAATGAAGTCCTAAAGAAAATCATGCTCTTCCCACCTTTAAGACTTTTGTTTTCCTTAAATTTCAAAAACCAAGTTTACTTGTTGAAGCATTATTCAGTGTTTCTTGGCTTCGTTGAAATAATTCTATTTAGAAAAAATTACACTATAGAATGTTCAAAAATATAAGGATTTTAGGCTAGCAAGCCTCATTTTGCAGATTGGAACCATATCAACATTGGTGAAATGACTTGTACCCCCATTTACATTGCTGATGAGTGACAGGTTTTGTGACTCTCACTCCCATACTCTTTTGTCCATATTCATTCATTTAGTCAATAAATGTTTATTCATTTAAATATCTACAGTAAAAGACACTTACTTTGAAACCTGGTTCATTTTGCATTATGCCAATAGGCAACTTTATGTGTGTGTGTTATCAGTGATAGAGTTGAAATAATTTGCTCTGAGAATTTTAACTGCAGTGTTATAGACTTATAATACATCATAGCTGCAAGGAACCTTAGAGATTGTATAGGTTAACACCATCATACAGAAAAGAAACCTAAGGAACAGAAATGGAAGGAGATTTGTTGAAGGTTGCATAGCTAGAAAGTGCTGAGATTAGAAATCAAGAGAAGTTTTTTTCCTATTATGCCATCCAATTATATTGATATGATTTGATATTCCTTGTGATTTCTATTTTTTTTTATGATTTCTAACCTGATTGAACCTTCATCATTCAGATTGTGTTCATAGATAATGGACTCAGAGAAGTACCTTCATTCCAACCTCCAGAGGTCCTCTGGTGTTACTCTACATATTAAAAGCATAATGTAATATATTTGTGAACTAACCATTTATGGCCTTTGAAAGATACCTTTGTATAAGTATAAATGTCAAAAAAACAAAGAATAAGGTTTGTTCATCTATATAAAATTATTAACAGCATAAGTAGCAATAGCAAAAATAGATCCTATGATATTTATGGATCAAAAGAGAAGACAAACCCATTTTCATAAATACGGACACACACAAAGCAGACCCAGCCTAATGTAATAATAAATAAGGAATGTGAATGACGGGCAAATGGTTTGGGAATGATTTGAATGCTAAGTGATAGTCACCACATATTCTAACATATGTTAACAGGCACAACCTGTGCTTGTTTCTATAAAGTTAATAGATTAGCAAAGCATTCCCAAAGATCAAATGATAACTATGCCATGTTAAGCAATATGCATAGCTCATTCTTTCAGCAAATTTCATTTGAAAACCTGGTTTTATTTCCTTGTATATATTGGGTTTCGTGCTGCCAAGGCTAAACCATTGAACAACTCTTGTCATCAAATTATAATGATAGCATTTAAAAGTAGCTGCATCATCTTTGGTGATATAGAAAACCTATGTACACAAATAAACACAAGCTGTTCTTGCCAAGTTCACATTTTTGAAGCAATGGTTTGGAACTGAAGAAGGAAGAAAGAGCTAAGTCATGAATATTACTTCAGTGCTTTGTCACAAGCCCTCTCTCCGTTCTGTTAAATGTTATCTTTATTCTACTAAAGATAGAGTGTGAGGCCAAGTAACTTCCCATGGTCCATTCCTGTTCTCTTACATAATTCTAAATTTACTCAGTAGTTACTATTTGCGTTCTGTTGACATAGGATGAAGGGTCAACAAGAAGAGACTGGGAATTCACTTTAAAACTCAATTTAACAATTGGAAATTTGCCACTGATGAAAATAAACAGTTTCAGTGGGGGGGGGACAAAAGTGCTGGTGATACCCTTCTTATAGAGATGCAATAAATCAGAAACAGCAATACACCCATCAAACCAGTGAAACAGAACCCATAATAGAGCTTTGCAATGCAGCTTTGTGAAAAGATAGTTGAACCTGATTGGGCCTTCACACCCCACAGGTTTAACATGGCACTTTGAGATTCTTTGGAATGGCTGACAAGTCAGTGCCCAGAAGTCTCAGCTACACTTTAGCCCAATAACTGGCTATGTCATTCAAACTATTTCTGAAGTTTGCTACTTCTTTTATGCAAATTGTATGTCCTACTTCACTTTACCCAAACCAAAAGAAGTTCCTTCTCCACCTTTTAAAAGTAACAGAAGGTATGCTTTTCCTAGAAAGCTGTTACATGAACATAAGAGTTGAAAGGATATAAAGGGAAAGAAGAAAGTAGACTTCATTGCAATGGCAACATTGTTGCACATCAAATATGCTCTATGTTCTCACTTCTAGTCTTAGATATGTATCCACATATAATTGCTGCAACATAGTACACCAAAAATGTTCCCTTTAATACTGGGACACCACAATTAATCAATTAATCATCTTGGTTTCATTAATTCTTGAAAAACAACCAAGAGTAGTAACAAGAACTAGGACATAAGGGTAAAATGCAAAGTTCAATTGACAGTGTTAAAAACGACTACACAGATTGACTCACTTGCTGAGTTTACTGAGTACATTAAACATAACTATTTTTGGTTGTAAATGTATATATGGGGTTCCATTTTCCCCAGACATGTAATTTTATCTGTGTAGGAGAATCTCTGGCATAGATATTTCCTATACAGATTATCAGATCAGAGTTTTAGAGAGTTACTTGGGAGTACTGAGAGTTTAAGTGATTTCCCCATGATCATATCTGAGG